GCTCAGAGAACCCCAAGGACTCCACAGTTCAGCCCTGAGCTACATATATTCTCTTCTATTGAATGGTGATAAGTTGTGAAAAGATACTGGAAGCCAAGCAGAGCTCTGAGAAAGCAAAAGAAAGTTACTCCTTAGAAAGATACTATGGAATAACTACCTCTTTGTTCTTTCAAAACTTCACTGTGTTTGTAGTCCTGCCCCATTGCCTCATAGTTACACCCTAATAGTCTCAGTGACTTCATAAGGCACATGAGGTGTTATATCCAATGAAATACCTGATTGCTCTATCCAATCATATGTATGTTCTAATTTGCATGATTCTATTAAGAGGACTCTAACTCCACTCCTCTTTAGACCTGTCTTTGCCACCAAGGCTGTCAATAGACCAATTAGTGCTTCAGTACAATATGCCCTGGTTTCTGGCACAAAGGTATCCTTAAAAAAATGCTACTACATTGCCATTTAGAGTGGCAGATGAAGAGGCTGTAAAATATAACAACTATATAAGCAAAATGCCATGTAGATTCTGAGAGATCAGAGCTGATAATTCTCTTTTAATGAAGGTTGCAAATGACATTCCAGAAGCAGCTGTGCCTAATAAATATCATTTTTTGTAGTTGAGGTTTCTGAACTACATGCTCAAGGATGTTGATTAACTGCATTCCTATCACCACTGTTTCCACAAAAGGATATAGGGTCAGCTTATTAGAACAAGTACTGTAGCAATTCTGCATTTTCAAAGGAGGGAGCTAGGGTATCTTCTCCACTTTCAATTGATATACCTACCTCCTTGGTGTTATTTTGTTTCCTTATCAGTCTCACTTCTAATAGGGATCAATAGATGTGCACATGTGCTCAGATTGTCTTTCAGCATCCTCCTACATAAGAACTATGTAACCTGAGTCACCGCTCTTTGCTCTTTTTGGTGCAGGAGACCAGTGACTCACTAGAACATGCTAGCTTTTTAATAATAAAACAATTATTGGATCCTCTTTGGCTGTGGCATTATCAGTGAGATTTCTACCACAGCTGCTATACAGATATCATTTATGCTATATGAGTGATCTAGTACACTTTCAGGTCAGCAACATTCTGCCATTCTCACTCTCAACAAAGAAACTGGATGTTTGTGGTGAGAGATTAAACCACAGTAACAACTACAAGGTATGTGGTGTCTACCATTAAGTAATGCATATGGAGATCTAACTTTTTAAACTGCTACAGAAAAATGTCTTGATCCAAGTCTCTTGGGCTAATATGTGCATCAGAACAAAGCCAACCAATGGATTATGGTTTTCTTGAAAGTAGTAATTAAATTCTATCAAATAAAAAATTGATGTACTTAAAACATATTTTATTTTTTTAATTAACAAAACATTAACAGATAATGAAATAGAATTATAGGCAAATATATGCAAAACTCATAGAGAAAGTCAAGAATAATTAACTTTTCTCTGCTATCATCCATTTTAGATAGCATTCCAAGATTGATTAAAACTATCATCCTAAAACAATTTAAAAACAATTCTAAAATGTTAGGAATTTAACAACTGTAGCTGAAATTCTTCATAATCCAAAACTTAGGGTATCAAATTCTGATTCTCAAAATTACATTTGATTTTTGTACAACACAACTCAAAAGAATTTTATTGCACCCTTCCTATTAAAAGTTGGTGAAAAAAAAATTGTCATAAAGCAAACAAGCTATGCAGAGTCAAAGGTAATGTTTTATTTCACACATGCTTAAGCTCGATCTTTAACAATGAGGTGATCAACATAGAAACAGTCATTTCTCCCCGGACTGAGCTTTTGAGCCTTTCTGTATTCCTGCAGGTACTTCTTGACCTTCATTAGGAGAATTGATAACAGAAGTTGCTTCATTCGATAGCTGAACACTGAATGGCTCTACTTCACCTGTAATGCCTTCCACAGTTCCAAGCATGTCCCATTTACACACAGGGCATGTTTGGTGCTTTAAAAGCCAAGGATCAATGCAGATTTTGTGGAAAAAATGCCCGCAGTGCAAAATCCGGGCTACATCTTTAGGCTTGTACATTTCTAAACATACTGCACAGTTCTCTCCATTTGATCCAACTTCTTTGTCATCCTTTTTCAATGTACGAAGCTCAAGATGATTTATGGCCGTAGTAATATCAAGCTCCTGGTGGCATCTCTGTGCTGAATTCCTTGTTCTTCGTAGCTTTCCAGCACAATAAAAGGTGCAATAGGCCACAGCTACAGAGGAAAAAATAAAAATGGTGCCCATGTAATGGGTTAACCATGGGTAATAGTACTTTCCAACATCAATGGTTGCCATCACTTGGATGCCATTCTGGATTAGACGAAGAAGGTCCATGCCCTTCAGATTGCTGATCATAACAGCCACAGGATCTTCCGTTCCAAAGTTAAACATGGGAAACACATTGTTACCCGTACCAGGATAATTATAGATGATCACACCAACTGCTCCCTTTTCTGCAGCCACGCTTATTTTTTTGGTAAATGAACACTGCCCTCTCATGATGAGTGCTATCCAACTCCCTGCATGTTCTGACTTGTTAAAATTTGTTACAGAGCTGCAAGCATTTTGATGGGGCTCCTCCGGAGGTATCAGAATGCCAGCCACCTTCTTCAAAGGAGAAGCTTTGGCAAACACCCCATTTTCTGCAATCTCCCATACAATCTGATTCCCAACTTGAAACGATATGTTAATATTGGCAATCCAAAAGCCGTCAGCTTGTGAACTCTGCAGGTGGAGCCCAAAATAGATGCCAAGGTGTAGAAAGCACAGAGTTGTTACCTTTCTTCTCCCAGTGGCAACCCCAAGTAAGTTCATGCTGACATCTGCTGAGCAGTCCCAGAGCCAATAACCCAAAAGAGAACAAAAATCACCAGCACACCAGTACTGAGTGATATTACCAGTGTGATATCAAAAACCCATCTCAAAAATTATGGAGAAACAAGCTGAAGGGTCTATCTGCCTGTACGTAACTTAAGTAAAGCTTACAGACAGTGACAGAATTTTTTTCTCCCTCCAATGAAGTCGTTTATTGTTAAGTAATGAAATTGTGACATCATTAACACACTTTGCCAAGCAGGACTCACTTCTGCTTTATCTGACATAAAATTACACTCACTCAACCTATTTAAAAACAAACACTTTGATACAGAATTAAGTTTCACAAACTGCAAGGTATACAATATTTGGCTGTCCTCTTTACTGAATGACTTATCATATAATGTGAATATGCTGAGGGGATGCATAATACTGCATTTTAACATTTAGTAGAGTATTCTTAAAATTGCTTAGCTTTTTAAGATCAAACAAGGACAGCTAAGTGCTCTTATCTAACTATGTTAAACTTCAGTACAGCAGCATATATAGATGTGCTAACATATATACGCATATTGTTCTATAGTTTTCACAAAACTCCATAGATCGCATCAGGGTCCTTTTACATTTTTGTGAGATGAAGAAATCACCCACCCACCCATTCCCACCGCTACTTCTGTATACATTAAACTGGCAGAACATGCAACTGGTTAGACATGAAAACATTAGGGCTATGCAATTCCTTGCAGAGAAACGCTCTGGAATGCCCACTGGTGTGCATGAAGTACCTCTTCTTAAATATTTAAAGTGGCCACATCTTTACATGCTCAGTGGCTACTTGGAAACTGCTCACCACCGTCTCTGCAAGCATGGCATGCACAGCCCTTTTGCTTTGCTGGAAAACACAGAACGATCCAAAGCAAGATACACAGTCATGCTAAAACAGCTGGATGTTCTTCTGAAGCAGCCTTGAGGCTTCATAAAGACAAGGTTGCTTTAACCATTTTCCAAAAGAGGTGCTTCAGATGTTCCACATCTTCTGAAGCACCTCTTTGCAAGAATTTGCAGACCCTGAAAATATCACTCCTGTAAATATAATTAGAAGACAAGAATGATTCTTCAGTTAGAAATCAAATACCTCTTTCAAACAATTATTCTTTTCATGTCTGAAAAGAGGACATTTATTTCTATGTCTTTCATATACACATATACACATACCTTCATATACAGTAGTAGAGATCTCTGACAATGGCTTGCTTTTCTTGTTTTCATGAACACACTGCTTTTAGTGAACCTATTGAGAGGCATTTTTTCCCCCAAAAAACATAGAAGTTTAGAGTTGGCTTGGGGGACTTTGTTCAAATCCATTGAACTGCCATGAAACTCACTGAGATTGACCTTGGACATGGAAGTACTTGTGAAGCGAATCCAATACATAAGCCTTTTCAAGGATGGAATGGGACAACTTAATAAACATGATCCTCAGGTTCAAAGAGGCAGGGGCTTGAAGGGAAATAAAAGTCTATGGAAGAAACGCATGGCAGCATGTTTTATCACTGGACTTTTTAACAGGATCTTCCTGCTAAAATACTCTTTCCATTTTTAACATTGGGCAAAAGTTGGCAAAGCATTTTTCTGAGCACAAGTCTTTCGGCTCCTTACAGGGTTCATTATTTTTCCTTCCTAAGAAGAAATATTCAACTTCTCTTTAAGCAAAATCTACTCACAGCTCAGGATATGCAGATGCAGGCAGGCAGACATGGAATTCAACTTATCTTGCGAATTTTTAACATACCTTTGATGTTTTATATCAGGATAATCCCTTGTGTTAGTAAGCCAGTTGTTTATTTCAAATTATATGCATTAATACCTTAATAACTAGAAGAAAATCTTGCTTATACAGATTTCTTAGCTAGTTTTCCCCTTAAGAGAGGAATGATACACTATTGTAGAGAACGTCTTCCTTTAATTCACTTTTGATTTTCAGAATAAGAAGCCACCAATAATTCCATGACATGTTTTTTTAACTGTTGAAGCAATTTGTTGGGGGACGGGGATAATATATGACTCAATGTTGCTTTACGAGAAATTCCAGTAGCAAGAGAAATTATAGCTACTAAGTCATTTCAAAACCTAAAAATATTAAGTTTTAACATGCAGTCTTAAGTCCATTTAGGCTCCATGTTTTAGCAGCCTTGCCCAACGTGTGCCCTCCAGATAAGTCGATCTTCAGTTCCCACTGGGTTTCCTAACCAGTGTGGCTACTGACACTAGTTTGAGTAAAGATAACATTCTAACAATCTATACAAAGAAAATGTGTGTTTCACTTCTAAAACTATCAAATATAATTAACACTGCAATCTAGTTAAATCCCTTTTGGAGATTAAGGTGAAATTGCCCTTGAAAGTCCTTCCAACTGCTCTTCTCACTGGTACCATGAGGGTAACAGAAGGTAATGGCTTTAGTACAATAGAAATGGATGAGGAAGAACCATATGCTGACAGTTCCCCTTCACTCTCTATCAGTATACTCTAAGAATTGAGAAAATAACCAGGAGATAAAAAAAAGATTTCATCTCCAAATAAACTCTGCCTTGTGTGGTTTTTCAGAAATTACAGTGGGGCAAAAAAGTATTTAGTCAGCCACCAATTGTGCAAGTTCTCCCACTTAAAAAGATGAGAGAGGCCTGTAATTTTCATCATAGGTATACCTCAACTATGAGAGACAAAATGGGGAAAAAAATCCAGAAAATCACATTGTCTGATTTTTAAAGAATTTATTTGCAAATCAGTTCTTCACACCAAGCTGCTTGCCTATTGCAGATTCAGTCTTAGTTCTTCACACCAAGCTGCTTGCCTATTGCAGATTCAGTCTTAGTTCTTCACACCAAGCTGCTTGCCTATTGCAGATTCAGTCTTAGTTCTTCACACCAAGCTGCTTGCCTATTGCAGATTCAGTCTTAGTTCTTCACACCAAGCTGCTTGCCTATTGCAGATTCAGTCTTAGTTCTTCACACCAAGCTGCTTGCCTATTGCAGATTCAGTCTTAGTTCTTCACACCAAGCTGCTTGCCTATTGCAGATTCAGTCTTAGTTCTTCACACCAAGCTGCTTGCCTATTGCAGATTCAGTCTTAGTTCTTCACACCAAGCTGCTTGCCTATTGCAGATTCAGTCTTAGTTCTTCACACCAAGCTGCTTGCCTATTGCAGATTCAGTCTTAGTTCTTCACACCAAGCTGCTTGCCTATTGCAGATTCAGTCTTAGTTCTTCACACCAAGCTGCTTGCCTATTGCAGATTCAGTCTTAGTTCTTCACACCAAGCTGCTTGCCTATTGCAGATTCAGTCTTAGTTCTTCACACCAAGCTGCTTGCCTATTGCAGATTCAGTCTTCTCATCTTTTTAAGTGGGAGAACTTGCACAATTGGTGGCTGACTAAATACTTTTTTGCCCCACTGTAGCTCTACCTAACTGTAAGACAGACCTAGTGTGCTCTTATGCTTTTAATTAAGCCACGTTGTTGGTCTATGGGAATCATATTCTTTAAAAAGTCAACCTAACCCAACTTTTATAGGTTCCTCATATAAAACTTGTTCCCACCTTTTTTGCTTATTACAAACATAAATTATGACTGGGGCAAAAATTTATAAAAACTCTTTCTGTGTATTCTTAGGATCATAGAATTGGAAGAGGTCTTTTAGGCCATTAACTTCAACCCTGCTGAATGTTTTTAATATAAAGCCAAATTAAAGGATCAATTTTGCAACAACTACTCTAACTTACAACTACAGGAAATCAACTTATTTAATTCGTTTCCAGCTTGCACTGAAGTACTGCTTATATTGATAAGTGATATCATCTGAGGTATTTTTCTTCCTTGGATAAAGAAAGCAAGAGGAAACTGACAATGGAGAATTAATTAACAGAAAACAGGAAAGAGAGAGAGAAAGAGAGATCTGTGATAATTTCTCCTGAAATATGTTTTAATGAAATATTACATATACTATTTGAACTGATTTCAGCAGAGCGCAAGCTTAAAAACCAAGTGTTTATTTAAAATATCAAATAAATTACACTATTGATAAATTATTGTCTACCATTAATGAGAATCCCACCACCAAATTTGCAATCTGGAAATTAGCTGAATTAAATACAAATTTCAGGGTTATCTCTAATTAAATCAAAACTGCTACTGAAGTCATTTCAATATCATTTCAATATTTTGTCTCAATGACCAGGTCTTTAAAAGTCTGCAACAAGATATGAGAGAAGCCAAATGAAACAGTTCTGGCCAAATATCTTGTCTTTCAAATGATTCAGAAGTCATAAAATAAATTCTTGGACTTATCTGTCTGTTTAACAACCCAAACAATGAAAAGCCACTTTGAGTAACAAAAACTGAAGCGGTATAAAAGCTTTTATAAATTAAAAAAAAATCATAGGTAAGACTTATATTCAGAGCAAAGAAGCTTCTTATACATGCAAACAAAATACATAAAGTCCTATCACTGATGTATTTAACTAAAATAAAGTAAAATCAACCAGTTTTGACAGCTGCAGATCATACATTTAGGGGTTTAATTGATCACACCTAACCCCTAAAATATCACTTTCCTCCTTTTCACTTTATTTTAGTGAAAAAAATAATCATATATACAGTAGCCTCTTTCAATTCCTTTGGATAATGGCATAATTGCAAATTGGGCAAATCCCACGCTTTAGCAACCAGCGGTCAATACATTGTTTGTGGAAGATATGCCTGCAAGTTAAAATCCGAACTACCTCTCTTGGCTTGTACGTCTCTAAGCAAACCACACAGGTCTCTTCTGCCAGATCAAATACACCCTTTTTTAACTTCCGCAATTCAAGAGAATGAACAGCTTTCTGGAGTTCAGACTTTGTTGGCTGAGCTCTCCATTCTTCATGTCTTATCATAATCTGCTCTGGAGAACAGTACAGTAAGACACAGGCTACAACAATAAAAATGAGAGCAAAAACACACAGA